TGACTGGCATCAGCAATACTTTTCATGGCTTCTACTGCAGGACCAGAATATTTCAACGCCAATTTACCACTGACTATACTGTGAACTTCATCAGCTCTATAATGATAAAACAATAGTATCAGACAATGTTGCCTCCCTTACCTTGGATCAAAAACCATATTTGTTGTCTGTGTCTATGTCTATCCAAACATATTATTAGAATGTATGTATGCTTACTAATTAAATCATCTTTGGGCATTACAAACATTAATATAATTACACAGACTCCAGGAGAGTAATACTCTATTAAATAGCAGAATAGCAGCATCATAGAGTCTCGAAGATATGCAATGCCCTTCAGCATTAGTATCCAGACAAAAATAAACAGTAGTATTTTTCAAAACTAGTCTGACACGTTACTTTAATAATCATTAGTCCTTCAAATGATTCACCCTTTTTTCTTAATTCCACTTAAAATCTGTTAAAATATAACTAAGATACTTACGTATTTAACATAATTTTACTCAGTAACATATATTTAAGAGCTATAATAGCTTTAGGACTGTCAATAGAGTCATATCCTTCAAATGCTTCATAGAAATAGGAGTAGGCTGTCTTAAAATCACGTTCATCTGCCGCATGTAGAATTCCTGTAAAAAAGATATATCATTATGGAATAACACTTGTGCAAAAGTAAGAAAGTTAATAGAAATTAAGTTATACTTTTAACTAGACAATTATGTTGGGGTGAAGTCTATTATGATATATATTTAGTACAGTTGAAAGGGACACAAATCCAACCAATGTAAGTGCAACGAATTTCAAAAAGATCTACAAATGACAAATCATCTTTATCTAAACTTTATTGGAAGCGATATTTCATAATAATCAATTTATGACTGCGCTTATGATTGTGCTTGTTTGCAAATGATTATAGCAGTTTCAGGGTCTGAAGTATTGATCATGAATTCAACCTCCTACCTGATTGTAAATCTAGAGCAGCTTGTAGTTTAGGTGGACAATAAATACCATTAGCTGTAGTTCTTCCTGAAGTTAGAGCTGCCCTGAAAAAAACTCACCTGGTAATAACATTACTAGAATCTTTTCCAGATATGGCAAAATGTGTTAATTCTATTCTTACTTCAATCCTTTTCATCCAAATTATTGGACTTACTTCTTTATCAACTCATATTTAAAAAAAACACAACATGATTTGTGGAATCATTCCAAAATGTGATCTTTTCAATGTACCAACAGCAAATCATTAAATATAGAAATGACAGAAAAGCACTATTGAATAGTTTAAAATGGAGAAGCATCAATCAAGTTATGGTAAGCAAAGTAAGAATAGATTTTTAATCATAAATTTCGTTACCTTGCTTTTGGTAGATTACTGAGAGCATGGTAGATTTTACTTTCTAATAATTGTACCTCTACTAATAAAGCTTTATCATCTAGTTTCTTTAGTTCTTTAAGTAATGATGAACCTAGAACCAAAACACACAGATTTTTAAGATAGTTCCTCTTCAATATCCATTTACAACACAAGTTACCTCTGTGTATAATTGGTGTTCAAAAGTTATCTATTTATTCAATTATTATTATATAGCACAAGACTTGGAATCTATTGAAATCATGGAAACAATCAATTCTGACACAAATATATTGATGGAGATTTAGAGTAAATGCTCAAAAGTGTTATTCAAGTTCAGTGAACTAGCGTTAAATTAAAGTAAAAATTACCAACCAAGTTTCAGTCCTTCTTGATAATCTTTAGTGTCAAAATACAAAGCTATTAATCGAGCCTGAAATAGAAAGATTAATATCAAAATCTGATGACGGGGAAGGTTGCAGCTTTGAAACATCCTAGTGTAAAAAGGCCATAACACCAGACATGTGCTTGTACACAAAGTGCTGTATCAAAAATGTCTCTTTGTAGTTATGCTTAAATTTAAAAAAAAAAAACAGAAAAACTGAATAACATGTGCCTAATTCAAAATAATAATTTCCACTAATTACCTCCAAAGCCTGCCGTAAGAAAGTTCTCTTTTCAGTCTTAGCCCATTCAATACATTCTTTACATAGCTCCACCTAAAAAGATACAACAAAATCATCAGGTATGTTTACACTTCAAAATAACAAATTGAGAACTTGATATACTCTTTGAGGAGTTTGACTTCTTTCTCTCTACTTGGTTTTGTTTCAGTTACAACATTGAAGGAGAAGAACATACCTCTTTACCAGTGTTGGCCTCCATGTCTAAAAACCTGTCAACTAAACCTCTGACTAACTTGGCAGCTTTAGCTTTACTGACCATACTTAAAAATGGTCTGGTGAAAACTATCAAAGCAATGATTTCTGAAAGAAATTCAAGATTGATAAGAGTCGTTTTTGTCACCCGATTCGATTAGGTTTCAATTTGCTAGTACAATTAGGTACCATTTGCAGTGGGCCACAAATGTGATACCGGCGATTAGGCAATATGGCTGACTGTACTGTCAACAAAAGAAGGTTGTCTATTAATATTAGCCAATGACATCTATTCTTTGACATCTATGTTTATATAGACAACATTGATATTAGCCAATAGTATAAATTACCAATGACGTCACACCTAATCGAATTGCCTAACCACCTACTGGGACGGTTAGGTCGATTAGCCTAATCAGTTTAGGTAAACTGTCTCACAAATGCACCGATTAGCCTAAACGTCCTGGCTCAAATGCACAAAATAGCTAATCTACCTAATCGAATCGTGCGACAAAAACGACTCTAGTATGATTAGAGTAAATGGTAATGGTATAGATGAAGACAGAATAAATTTGATTTCATTGTACAAAATCTATAAGAGGTTACAACTCTAATGTAAGTAGCAATTAAGTGCAGAATATAAAGATACAAAAATAAAACAAAAACTTTTGTAACTACTTAACTTCATTAATATTGGAAATTCAAAACAAATTTAAGCTATAATTAATATATGAATGATACTATTCATTCAGTAGAAAACACTATGAGAGCTTCTTTTTTTCTGACTGTAGGCTGGTTTAATAGTGGCATATTACATTGGTTGATTGCTGAGTAGTAACAAACTAACCTGAAGCCTGCTTATTTTCAGCATAAATACTTCCCAGGTCAAGTATAGCCTGTTCCTTGACTTTAATCCCATCCTCATCTCCAGCTGGTAGATTTCTCTTCACTGAAATAAATGGATACAATTCAAGCTAGTAAAACCACTACAAAAATATATGTCGATAAAAAAAAGTTAACAGTCAAACAGTCAAGTAACCTAATTTCGTGGAAACCTATTATTCGTGGATTTCCGGAAATGTTTAATAATTTACATGAGCGACCTTGCGCGACCTCTGCATTAGTTTGTTTTAATAAAAATGGGTTTTCTGTACAATATCAGCTAGTAGAATGAATCCAGTAGTTTCAAGCAAAGTAAAATGTATTAATGTATACTTTGACAAATACAAAATGGTCAATTTCACTTATTACCAAACATCACCATTTTTTATCGGCTGAATTTCCTTATAATCCTAAGCGGTAATCGAAATTCCAAGTGTCGTCTGCTAGAATGTATTCCAACGAATGAAGTTACGTGATCAACTAGCGGGTTCCGTGTCAGCAGAAAATTTCTATGGAACACAAAGTGGGCCATATTCTTATGTTGTTTCAGTGACTTTTAGCAATAAATCACGCTACGTATCATATTTTGTCAGTCACTATTTTTTTTTTAGATCGTGGTTCTTTGAAGGAATTGTCACTAGTTATAATGAATTGATATTAAAGATAAATACTAAGAGAAGTTAATTATACCACCCGGTATCCATACAACGTGTTTTTCTAGACTTATTTATAGATAAAACATTGTACACGAAAATATGTGACGCATTCTGCCGCCGTTGCCGAGTTGGTTGCTCATGAAATATGGGCCAAAGTGAAGGATTCATAAAGAAATTCAAAATAAACCAATTTTAATTATTTTGTAGAATATCTGAGGAAACATCTAAGACATAAAAAAATTTCGTTTTTTTATCTTTGACGAAATTCGGTGTTGAATCCTTATATACACGAAAATAGGTTACACCACTGTACTCATAGTGAGCATGATTTGGCGAAATTGGAAGTAAACCGGTAATGGCCAAATTTCAACATGGACTACAGACAAACAAACCCATAAATTGATCGCTTTTTTTTACATTTTTCTGGAGATCGAGGGACTATAATTACCTATTGCTGAAAAGATTTCACTGGCAGCGTTTTTGTTTGTTAAACGCAGTGCTTGTGCTTTTTCAAGTTCTTCGGTGGCCATCTTGTTTGTACAAATTACGACTCGTGCGTTTTCACGAGATAACGGAACGAAATATTATTTAGAAAACGAAATAAATCATAATATTATTGATCCAAATTGGTCTTTAGGTTTGGCGTCAATAAATTTAAGTTCAAATTTACACCATTTTCTTTACATCTTGATCAATACAAGTCAACAAATTTCATTTCAACAATGGGGAATCCCTATTAATTCTAGTCTATTTTTAGTATCACATGATCATAAAGCTTATAGATGAGATATTTGATTGGTTGTTTATCATCTGGCGATGGCGATGGGGATTCTTTATCAAAACAGCTGAGCTGATTTATCGCTACACTTCCAATGAAACATTGAAGTTGTCGTTAAACACCCATTAACAAGGTATTTGGTTACATTTTTTAGACAGAAACATTGCAAACAAAATAAATCAAATGGCTGTCAATTATGCCTTCACATTTCAGTTTGCCTTCTTGTTATTCACAATTGTATGGAAGAGGTTTTGTGTCAAAGATAGCCTACCCTATTCTCCATGCCTGTGCTCTGTGGAGTCTAAATTTCATACACTCTTGGCCCTGCTTTATTTTTTTCTTAACATGGTCAATGGTTTAGGCTATAATAGGCCTACATGATAAAAATAAACTTTTGTGAGTTTCTGTGAGTGCCATTGTCATGATTGTATTTCGTTAGAGAAATAGAAAGGGTAGAAAGACAGCATGCCACATAAATATGAGAATAATCGAGCCAGGAATCGTGGTGGTCCTTATAAAACCGAGCCAGCTACAGATCTATCTAGATGGAGGTTGACAAATGTTGAGGGTAGACAAACATGGCGGTATATTGAAGAAGGTCAGCCAGTGGATAGAGAACAAACTATGTTAGAACTTTACTCCTTGGGATTAGAAACAGTAAGTTTTTACCTCTTTATAATCTGTTGGCGTGGCAAATACCAATGGCAATTCTGAACACTAGAAATATTTCTTTAAATCACAGAGCTTTGACCAACCCAAATCGGATGAGTAAAACTGGCTTATGTAATACTAACAGACATATTCTTTAGGCATCAACCAGAGCTTGTCATTTTGCAGCTCCAATCAGACCCGATTTGGCAATACAAATAAATCCAGAGCCCTTGAGAAGATTTTCCAATAATTTGATTTATGTATTCATTTTTGTTCATTGGTATAAATATCTCTGTAAATTCCAGAGTAAGCATGCACCAGATTTATCGAGACCAAGTACAGCTCAGAAAGCAGGGTATAATGGTATAAAGTTTTATAGTAAGATACAGGCTGAAGATGGCCATTGGGCTGGTGATTATGGTGGACCATTGTTCTTAATGCCAGGTTATTTCACTAAAAATACATTATAAAATCACACAAAACTAATCCATCATTTTTACAATGTCAAGCTATTACGAATTTTGTACTTACACCTTGACTGCAATAGCCACTGTTCTTGTATCATGAAATACAGCAATTTGATTGGATTGAATATCAGCGAATACCAAGCCCTTGACAGAAAGGTTGTAAATATTATTGCTTTGTGTTCACAACCTGGCTGTATTCTGTAGCGTACAATCCAACCAAATTACTTAATTTACATATTTCCATGATATAAAAAGGATGACTATTATTGTCAAGATATAAGTACAAAGTTAGTAATAACTTGACATTTTGAAAATGACTCATCTATATGTTTACCTCTGTTTATTTGGCTTATGGCAACACTCATCTCTCATCATCTTCATCAGGAGTAGATATTAAAACATAAACCTTTTATTTAATCTTGCCTTTCCAACTTATTATTATCTTCCCTACACAGAAGTAGGTCTTGCCTTCTGATACAACAAACAGAAGGTAGTATATGTACATCAGGTGCCCTTTCTGTGACCAAAATACCATGTGCTGTATTACTGTGACCAAAATACCATGTGTCTGTATTACTGTGACCAAAACACCTTGTGTCTGTATTACTGTAACCAAAATACCTTGTGCCCCTGTTACTGTGACCAAAACACCATGTACTTGTATTACCTGGACCAAAATACCTTGTGCCTTTATGACTGTGACCAAAATACCATGTGCCTGCATTACTGTGACCAAAATACCTTGTGTCTGTATTACTGTGACCAAAATACCTTGTGTCTGTATTACTGTGACCAAAATAGTATGTGCCCATATTATTGTGACCATAATACTTTGTGCCTGTATAACTGTGACCAAAATACCTTGTGTCTGTATTACAGTGACCAAAATACCTTGTGTTCTTATTTCTGTGATCAAAATACCTTGTGTCAGTATTACTCTGATCAAAATACCTTGTTTCCATATTACTCTGATCAAAATACCTTGTGTCCATATTACTGTGATCAAAATACCTTGTGTTCATATTACTGTGACCAAAATACCTTGTTTCCATATTACTCTGATCAAAATACCTTGTTTCCATATAACTGTGATCAAAATACCTTGTTTCCATATTACTGTGATCAAAATACCTTGTGTCCATATTACTGTGATCAAAATACCTTGTGTTCTTATTACTGTGATCAAAATACCTTGTGTTCTTATTACTGTGACCAAAATACCTTGTGTCCATATTACTGTGACCAAAATACCTTGTGTCCATATTACTGTGACCAAAATACCTTGTGTCAGTATTACTCTGATCAAAATACCTTGTTTCCATATTACTCTGATCAAAATACCTTGTGTCCATATTACTGTGATCAAAATACCTTGTGTTCATATTACTGTGACCAAAATACCGTGTGTTCATATTACTGTGACCAAAATACCTTGTTTCCATATTACTGTGATCAAAATACCTTGTTTCCATATAACTGTGATCAAAATACCTTGTTTCCATATTACTGTGATCAAAATACCTTGTGTCCATATTACTGTGATCAAAATACCTTGTGTTCTTATTACTGTGACCAAAATACCTTGTGTCCATATTACTGTGATCAAAATACCTTGTTTCCATATTACTGTGACCAAAATACCTTGTGTCCATATTACTGTGACCAAAATACCTTGTGTCAGTATTACTCTGATCAAAATACCTTGTTTCCATATTACTCTGACCAAAATACCTTGTTTCCATATTACTGTGATCAAAATACCTTTTGTCCATATTACTGTGATCAAAATACCTTGTGTCCATATTACTGTGATCAAAATACCTTTTGTCCATATTTCTGTGATCAAAATACCTTGTGCCCGTATTACTGTGACCAAAATACCTTGTGTCAGTATTACTGTGACCAAAATACCTTGTTTCCATATTACTGTGACCAAAATACCTTGTGTTCATATTACTGTGACCAAAATATCTTGTGTCCATATTACTGTGACCAAAATACCTTGTGTCAGTATTACTGTGACCAAAATACCTTGTGTCTGTATTACTGTGACCAAAATAGTATGTGCCCATATTATTGTGACCATAATACTTTGTGCCTGTATAACTGTGACCAAAATACCTTGTGTCTGTATTACAGTGACCAAAATACCTTGTGTTCTTATTTCTGTGATCAAAATACCTTGTGTCAATATTACTGTGACCAAAATACCTTGTGTCCATATTACTGTGATCAAAATACCTTGTGTTCTTATTACTGTGATCAAAATACCTTGTGTCAGTATTACTCTGATCAAAATACCTTGTTTCCATATTACTCTGATCAAAATACCTTGTGTCCATATTACTGTGATCAAAATACCTTGTGTCCATATTACCGTGACCAAAATACCTTGTGTCCATATTACTGTGATCAAAATACCTTGTGTCCATATTGCTGTGACCAAAATACCTTGTGTCAGTATTACTCTGACCAAAATACCTTGTTTCCATATTACTCTGATCAAAATACCTTGTGTCCATATTACTGTGACCAAAATACCTTGTGTCCATATTACCGTGACCAAAATACCTTGTGTCCATATTGCTGTGATCAAAATACTGTGTCCATATTGCTGTGATCAAAATACCTTGTGCCCCTATTGTAATAAGTGTCTCAATTTGTAGGTTTAGTTATAACATGTTATATTACTGGTACCAAATTTACTCAGGCTCAGACATTAGAAATGATAAGATATCTACGTTCAGTTCAGTGTCCAGATGGAGGCTGGGGATTGTAAGTTTATATTTTACATTGTTTATTAGAGACAGTGTTGTTAGGGTGTATAACCATAACTCAACAAGTTCCAAAGCCTTAAATTTGAAATAAAAAAAGTGTTTATCTTGTAAGAAACTAGATGAGAATTCACAGCACCTTTTATATAAAATCTTGATATGCAGTAAGATGTGTTGATATCCTTTTGTCAGGTCCATTTCACAGTGGTTTGTCTTGACCATTCATTAAGCCTAAACAGAAAATATACCCAAATTTGTAATATTTATAACATTCAACCACCTATTTTATCAAACTTATATCAGCAAGCAGTCACATCATCTCCTAGTAATCCTATTTGACCATGAATAAATATCTAAACATATTGTTTCAGACATATAGAAGGACCACCTACTGTATTTGGATGTGCTTTAAACTATGTTGTTATGAGATTATTAGGGGTGTCTAAAGATGATCCAGATCTAGTTAAAGCCAGGAACCTACTTCATGAATTAGGTAATTTATTCATATCGAATAGGCATTTTCTGGACTTGATGGAGTCAGCAAGTAGAAAATGAAAAAGAAAAGAAACTAGAACTGTACTAATAACAGTACTGATGCAGGGCGTGTTACGACATTCAGGTACATACGAAGTTGGTCTATTGTAATTACATTGATGTAAATACTTTTCTGCATCTCTAAATGCAAATATCCAAAAGTGGTTGGAGTTGATGAACTTTCTAGAAAGAAATTGGGGAGAATGGTGCTTTAACGGACATGTCAAACTCAGGAATTTTATCTATACTGACATCTCATTAACCAACGTAAATTTGATACCACAATGTTAAACGAATAGAATTTTTAAATATGCATGTTACATAGACATGTTGTATATCACTGGAAAGCTCAGAATCTCAGCATTATGAAATCGAAAGAATTATTGCTATATCATTATTAGGCTACGAGATACAGCACTGCAAATGTTCTAAATGGACCATTTTTAAACCCCTATAAAATCAAAAATAGTTGTCTGACCCCAAAGGTCATCAGATATTCAAGGTCACAAATTATCATCATAGTAAATATGAAGGTCACCAAAGGTCAAGGTCATGAGATATACGCCTTCAAACTTTAAATAAAAATATCCGGTCGTACATAAAAGGCAAAACAGAAAATCAAAATTCTGTCCTTAACAAGTTTTAGATAAACGTTAATTCTATCATTTGACACCAAAATTGTTCAAATCGGATGATAAATAGCTCCAAAATAGCAAGTTTTGCATATTGAGGCAAACCAATATGGCGACCTATATGTTACTTCCGGAACAAATTTTTTTTAGTTGTAACACTTTGTATTAGCGACACTAAGCTTATGCATATGTCATTTCTGACATAACTCAATTTCACCGGAAGTGATGCCACCGGAAGTACTAATATCGAAAGCGAAAGTGATAAACATTTTTTGATTATGCAGAATTATTTGCCCATTCCGACGGTCTACGTCATAAAAATTTCAAATCGATCCGTCAAAAAGCAACCGAAGTAGCATTTTTCGATTAATTTCGACAAAAAAAAGTATCGAACGAATTTTGGAAAATCGAATATTTTTAACTGCTATCGTATGTCCTTTGTACTAAGAATTATAATAAAGGAAACCCGAGCAAAATCGAACGATAAATACACTCAGTCCATTTCTGGCTTTTTGCTATCTCATTTCCGGTTGCACAGAACATTTTTGTTTTACATTTAATACGTGAATAGCCACGAGTTAGAAAACGTCATGAAGTCCGTTTTGTCGTACCTATTTCTGGTTCCGAGAAATAAGCTCCCTAGCTGACGAAAAAAAAAAATAATCGTTCAAAGAACGCCCTGCAATAACAATGCTCCATGAAACAATCTTGACATTGACCTTTCCTAGATTATCTGCACCAATTTATATTTTCAATAACAAAATGTTTTCACTGTTAAAATAGAGCTAAATAGATCAGTTGTAGAGCAATATAGAAATATTTATCAGAACCTGTAGAATTTGGTTGACTGAAATAATGAGACAATATTACTTTTTCATGATTAGCAATCAGACCTTACTACTAACATTTGTGTATCAAACCAAGTAAATAACTGTATCAGTGTTAAATATTATGACAATTGTACTTGTAGGAACTGCTAAAGCTATTCCATCCTGGGGCAAATTCTGGCTAGCTGTTTTAAATGTGTATAGCTGGGATGGTTTACATTCCTTATTCCCTGAAATGTGGTAAGTGATCACAGAAAATACAGGAAACAGAGAGTCTTGAAATTTTGAATTTTCTGTTCCCATTTATTAGCTGATGGAATGGGATGAAGTCCATCACTTTAAACAATGTATATCTAGAACATCAACCTTACACTAGTCATATCCCAGGCTACTACCTTAACATATTCATTGCTCACTTTCTCCTCTTCAAATTTATAGTTCTCCTATTACATTAGACACACTGTTAAATCCTTCTTAATGTAAGAACTTTTTCTAGTAACTGTACTGTTACTAACAAATTGATGGTATATATATATTGTTTTATCTAGGTATATACAAATATTACTTTGGATGACTGTAATCTGTTCATTGTTTCAAATTGACTTTTTTCTCCAATTCAATCTAATGCCCTGTTTATCTATTTGAGTCTATTAGAGACCTGAATAGGACTGGTTTAATTAATCTTGACTGTCCTTTTGGAATACCATGTGTTTATTTATAGGGTATTTCCTGAATGGATTCCCATACATCCTAGTAAATTATGGTGTCACTGTCGTCAAGTCTATCTTCCAATGGCCTTTTGTTATGGTAAAAGACTTAAAGCTGAAGAAAATGAATTGATTCTATCCTTAAGAAAGGTAACTTTCATTCTATATCTATATATCTGGACAATGTTTAAGTTTTAGAATCAGGGGTTTTTGATCTGGCTATAATTACCAGTCATGTTTGTTATAATGGCTGTTGCTAACATGTCTAGACCCAATGTTAAATATTAAAGATGTATACAAATAAAAGTTAGGCAATTGAAAAACAATCAAAGTGTATCGACTCTGGAACCTGATTATATTTTGTAGGAACTTTATACTGATGATTATGAAAGTATCAACTGGCCATCTCAGAGAAATAATTGTTCTAAAGCTGATTTATATACTCCACATTCCTGGTTTCTTGATATAGCTTACTGTAAGTTTATTGTAACTTTATTTCTCACAGCATTAATTCATTCTTTACTTCTTGACTGGTTGAATAATGACAATGTAGACTTGTGAACGCTATAGATACTACACATTTTGTCCAGATTCTTACACTAGTGCACATTAATGTAGTATTGATTACATGTTTGGTATTAGTATGCAAAGTAAAGCAAAGCCTATTCTAATTCTTCTTTTTGGCGATACCCAGACCCACACGTGTTTATATTGAGATATCCTCTTTTTGTAGATGCTTTAGATATTTATGAAGGCTACCACCTATCATCGTTAAGAGAAAAAGCATTAGAAATGTGTTATGATCATATTTGTGCTGATGATAGATTTACTAAAGGCATCAGTATTGGTCCAGTAAGTAATAAATATGAAAATGAAACAGAATTAGTGGGCACACTTGAATACAGTTTCAACAATTTGTGAAAATGTACAAAATTTACAACTTATATGCTAAGAAAATCCATAGCTTCGTATTCATGTTTGCTAAGGAAATTGAAATATAGATTATGATAGAAGTAAGATCTAGTTAGAGTTGATAATATGAAATAATTTATAGCATATTTGTAAATCAGTATTTGTATAACATTAAATTGAATGTCTTTAAATGTTAACAGTTCTTCACATTGTTGTTTTATTAATTCTATTCAATCTAAGGAAAGATGTAATTATGTATGTAGGTATCTAAAGTAATTCAGATGTTAGCTAGATGGTATATTGATGGAGCTGACCATCCTGATTTTATACAACATCAAGATAGAGTCAAAGATTATCTGTGGTGAGTAAACAATGCTATTGTTTGATCATGATCAAAACAAATGTGTGCATTTATGTCCTTAATGTGCTAGGTGATTAGGTTGGTCAAATCTTCCTCATTGAAGTAAGACAAATTTGTGATAGTCTATTACCATAATGTGCTAGGCAATTAGGTGGGTTTGAATCTTTCTGAAAGTAAGACAAATTTGTGATAGTGTATTACCATAATGTGCTAGGCAATTAGGTGGGTTCGTATCTTCCTGAAAGTAAGACAAATTTGTGATAGTGTATTACCATAATGTGCTAGGCAATTAGGTGGGTTTGAATCTTTCTGAAAGTAAGACAAATTTGTGATAGTGTATTACCATAATGTGCTAGGCAATTAGGTGGGTTCGTATCTTCCTGAAAGTAAGACAAATTTGTGATAGTGTATTACCATAATGTGCTAGGCAATTAGGTGGGTTCGTATCTTCCTGAAAGTAAGACAAATTTGTGATAGTGTATTACCATAATGTGCTAGGCAATTAGGTGGGTTTGAATCTTTCTGAAAGTAAGACAAATTTGTGATAGTCTATTACCATAATGTGCTAGGCAATTAGGTGGGTTCGAATCTTCCTCATTGAAGTAAGACAAATTTGTGATAGTCTATTACCATAAAGTGGTAGGTGATTAGGTGGGTTCGAATCTTCCTGAAAGTAAGACAAATTGGTGATAGACTATTACCATAGAGTGCTCCTCTAAGAATGGTACCAGTCGTCTCAATTTCAGATTACAGCCCCTCCCAAAATTTTCATCTTTGATTGATGTTATTGTCTTTATATTATATCTCCAACTTGATATCAGACATAACCAGTAGGTGGGAATGAATAATGTCAATGTTATTATATTTCTAGGATTGGTTTAGATGGAATGAAAATGAATGTAAGTAACACAGAATATTATTTAATTATACATTTCTTAAGATTATGCTATCAGTCACAAAAATCTAAATTTAATCAAACTTAATTTTACTAATTATTATTATTGGTTAAATGTTAAATACATGTGATGACTTGACAGAACAGAATATCCCGTCTTGCATGGCATAACCTGTCATCATTAGTCCACACAAGATAGAAAGTAGAATCTAAAAAGCCTGTTACTTATTCTTTCATTAATGTTATGAGCATGTGATGTAATATGAATATTAAGTATGTCATGAATATTTAGTAGCCTAGACGTGCATGCTTGGCCTGCAGGATTGTTGTAGCGTCACTTCATGTGTGGCCACCACGATGTGTGGACGTGTTCCACTGTAATAAATATATAAACAATAATGTGTTGTATATGACTTTAACATGGTAGCAGAGCGGGTATTTGGGTAATGCAGGCCTAGAAACAGTGTAGTTGGGTACGTGTAGAGAAGAGAGTAATATTTAGCGGATGATTGTAGAGTTTGGAGCGAGTCTGATGATGTAAGCGGCGGAAGAACATATTAAATGGAATGGAACAAAGTGATATTTAATTTAGACGAAAACTGAACTATATCTGGCGATAATAGTGGCGATAAAGGCGAGGAAAAAGATACATGGAAAATGTGTTATAAATCGAAAGAGTTTGAAATCAAAGTTACTTTCGTACCACATGGTCGGAGAGTACATTTAGCAGTGTAAGAGGCGAAAGTTCAGTGACATTGGAATGTGGGAAATTGAAACAAACTGAAAGTTGACTAAAATTGGTAAAATAATTGGTGGAAAAGACATTGTGACAATACAAAATGTTGTATCTGGTGAAAATGTTTGGATTTAATTAACCAGTATATGGAGAGTAATATTTCTGGTGATTGCTGTTGTGGTGAGTGGCTTAACAATAATAAACAATATGGCGTCGTCGGGGAAGATTTTGATCCGTGGAAATTTGGCAATGTGTCACTGACCTTGAGGCAAAAAAGCAAGGTACTGCAGTCTATTTATCATTGGACCAAAAGACTAGAAACAGATGCCTAGACATCGATGTGAAAGAATTGAATGATGAAACTGGTATTGACATTCTGATACGGAAATTAAAACAACTTTATGCCAAAGATGCAAACCAACAAGCGTTCATTACCTATGAGAACTTTGAAAAATTTTCCAGGCCAAGATCTATGTCTGTCACAGACTACATAAATGAATTTGAGCGGTTGAATTACAAATTGAAGAGCTGTAAAATGGACCTTTCAGATGGTGTACTGGCCTACCGTGTACTAAAGAGTGCAAATATAACTGAGGAAAAGAACAACTGGCTAGAGCCACTATTCATGAGCTGACCTATGAAAACATGAAGAAACAACTTAAGGTTATCTTTCAGCACACAACTACGGCAGAAGACACCTATATGAAGCAAGAGACGACAGATCTAATGTGTGGAAGAATCTTATTACGCATCTAATGGCCGTCGCGCATCCAGATGGCAGCGACCAAACTACTCAAGGAGAAGAGGTGGTGGTACTAATCCTAGGTGGAGAGGTTCAGGTCAACGTGGGAATGCCAGACGTACTAATCCAGTAGATAACTATGGTAATACGTTGACATGTGCTATATGTCGTTCTATTTTTCATTGGGCTCGTGACTGCCCTGACAGTTATGAATCTAGGAAACAAAATTGGGAGAAAGTCACTCTTTTCTCTAGGGGTGTCGAAGAGGTCTATCTACAGCAGTTCCTTGGAGAAACATTCAACTATGGCATCTTAGACTGTGGCTGCACACAAAATGTGTGTGATACAACTTGGATAAACTGTTACCAGTCCACACTAGATGATGATGAAACTTCCCAAGTAAGAGAAACAGAGAGTAGTATGGTATTCAGATTTGGTTCGGGTCCTCCTATCCAATCTACGAAATGTGTAAAATTTCCAATATATATCGTTAGTGAACAAATATTAATAGAAAGCGAGGTTGTGGACTGTGATTTGCCTCTCTTACTTAGCAAGAATTGGATGAAAGACGAAGATTTAAAATTAAACTTTTCCACTGACAGTATTAACATTCTGGGAAATGACAAACTACAGTTTACAACAAGTGGACATTATGCCATACCTATAATGAAACCAAAAGTGTTCCTTTACAGCGAATGTCCTGTAAGTAACAAGACTGAACAAGAGAAATATGACATTGTGAAAAAGTTACATAAACAATTTGGACCCGGCAGGTGAAAAATTACTGAAACTGGAATTGAAGACCAAGACTTTCTTAAGATGTTGAGAAACTTTGAAAGTGATTGTGATATATGTGTTCAATACAAAAAGCCAGCGTTACGCCCTGTTGTTGGTATATCATTGTCTAAAGAATTCAATGACACAGTTTCCATGGATTTAAAGTTTATAAACGGTGAACCATTTTTGCATATGATAGACCATGCAACAAGATTCAGTGCAGGGGTTTTTAGGAAATCTAAACAAAAAGAAGAAATAATTGACAATAATATTCAAGCATTGGATCTCCATATTTGGTGTTCCCCATAAATTCTTAACAGACAATGGTGGCGAGTTTAATAATTCCCGTTTTAGAGCATGGCGTTTTAACTTGAATATTACAGAGTTGACAACTGCAGCAGAGGCACCCTGGTCAAATGGAATAACAGAGAGACACAATGCAATAATAGGAAAAGATGGAGAAGATAATCGCTGATACTAATTGCTCTATGAAAGTAGGTCTAGCTTGGGCTCTGAGAACAAATGGTGTGGTCCAGGCGTAGTTATTGGAAAAGACAACTGACAAGTTTTTGTTAGACATGGGGGTACTTATGTCCGTGTGCATCCGTGTATGTTAAGACATGATACCAGGAATAAGATGCAGTCTCCTGATGTTAAGGATAACAATGATGACGAAACTAGTCATTCTTCTGATTGGCATTTATCCATCAAAAAGTTGGTCGAGTTTGACACACCTGTCAACAGTAGTGATGTTCCTGGTGAACAGTGTACCAGTACCTAAAACTCTGATTTGGATGATGAACATTTAGCAAAATCATTCCCAGGACAAAGAATACTGATAAAGGAGGAAGAGACAGATTGGAGAGAAGCAATAGTGATAAGCCGGGCAGGAAAGTCAACTGGTAAAAATAGACACTGGGTTAATGTAAAAGATTGTAGTGATAATTCATTTAAGAGTGTTAATTTAGATGTGATAGAATGGAAACCAGTTGAGAATGTTTTGATAAGTCAAATTGAGAGCAAAAGTAGATCACTGGAGGTGTCTGAGGCTAAAATAAAAGAAATTGGTAATTGGAAGGAACATGATGTGTTTTCAGAGGTCTGTAATGATGGTCAGAACTGTATTTCAGTGCATTGGGTCATAACAGAAAAAACAAAAGATGGTGTCTCAATTATTAAAGCAAGACTTGTAGCACGAGGATTCGAGGAACAATCAGACTGTATCAGGAAAGATTCTCCTACATGCTGTAGAGAGAATATTAGACTAATTTTGACTCTGATATCAACTTTTAACTGGAGACTAAACTCTCTTGATGTGAAATCTGCTTTTCTCCAAGGTGGTATTATTGATAGAGACATATTTCTAAAACCTCCACCAGAGGCAGGCACTGATAAACTCTGAAAGTTAAAAACCACAGTGTACGGTTTGTGTGATGCCCCAAGAGTTTGGTATCTCCGTATAAATGATGAACTTTTAAACTGTGGGGCCCAAGTAAGCTCTTATGATGAAGCGATATTTTACTGGCCATTTGATGGGACATTGCAAGGTGTTATATGTTGTCATGTAGATGATTTTTGCTGGGGTGGTACAGAGGTCTTCCAAGAAAGGGGGATAAAAGTTCTTAAGTCAAAATTTCTCATTAGTTCAGAAGAATGTGATGTGTTTCATTATGTAGGTCTAAATTTGAAGCAAATTAATGTTGAAATTCAAATGAATCAAGATGAGTACATCAATGAGATTGAGTCCATGAAAATTGATAAAACTAACCGAGCTAAATCTGATCCTATCAGTATAGCTGAGGCTCATCAATTGCATGGTTTGGTTGGCCAATTGAATTGGACAGCAAATCAAACTAGGCCAGATATCTCTTTTGATCGTTTTCATCTTAAGTTTGCAAATCTGGGCAATATTCACAAACTTTGTTTGTTGGCATATAGTGACGCATCTTTTGCAAATTTGAAAGGTGGGGGTTCCCAAGTAGACTATATAGTGTTTTTGGTAGGCAATATTGGGAAAGCAGCTCTAATTACTTGGCAGAAAATACGTTGTGTAGTTAAAAGTACCATTGCAGCTGAATCTTTAGCTTTATTAGAGGCTGCTGAGGGATGTCTTTTAAGAGTTGTAATATGTGAAATTTTAAGTCTTGAGACTAGTTCTGTACCAATTCATTGTGTTGTTGATAATAGGTCCCTGTGTGACACAGTATACTCAACAAAAACATTAACAGATAAAAGATTAAAGATTGATATCTGTGTACTCAGGGACATGTTGTCAAAAGGTAAAATTCAGAGTATTGAATGGACAGATAGTCAGTCACAACTTGAAGATTGTTTGACAAAATCTGGGACGTCTAGCTCAAATCTCTTTCATTTCTTATACACACAAGATATTTGGTTTAAATACTGTAAAATTAAAAAAACCAAAATAAGTGAAGGAGCTTTATTCTTCAAATAATAAAAAAAAAAAACATAGAGAAAAGAAAAAAACAATAATGTTTTGTTAATGACTTTAACAATTAAGGGTACTAATGGATCACAGTTATGGGACACAGCATTTGTTGCTCAAGCTCTCCTGGAAGCTGGTGCTGATAAGGTTGAGGAATTTACCAAATGTTTAGATAAAACACACAAGTTCCTGAAAGTTTCTCAGATTCCTGAGAATCCCCCACAATATCAGAAATATTACAGACAGATGAATAAGGCAATACTTTACATTATTTATTATACCTTTTATTACTTTTCTTTTGTTGCCAAAATGTTTTTTGTATTTAATTATACTTTTACAATGAGTATGGTTGATTAAAAACAAAATGATGGATGCACGATGAACCAATCTCATCATACAGTAAACAACAATATTATCAGTTAAGCCTCTGTTAAATGTAGACCTACCAGTGTCTGCAGAAAACTATCTTCTTAAATTATGTTATTCTGTGTACAGGGAGGATTTCCATTCAGTACCAAAGATTGTGGATGGATTGTCAGTGATTGTACAGCTGAAGGGTTGAAGAGTGTTATGTATTTACAAGAGAAATGTGAACAGCTATCACAGACTGTTGATGTAGAGAAATTTTACCAAGCTGTAGATGTGGTAAGGAAAGGAAATTTTAATTTTTACAAATATGTTTAAGCCCTTGACATCACGCATCTTAGTTTATAGATGGCCATATTAACTCTCTTACACTAAAGATATAATTATTTAATTGGTCTAAATATTTTTAATTGTCTTTTCACATTTAGTTATTAAGTATGAGGTGCCATGATGGAGGTTTTGCTAGCTATGAAACTAAACGGGGTGGTGTGTTATTGGAGAAGCTAAATCCTTCTGAAGTATTTGGTGAGCTTTTTCATTTCTCTTAAAATGTGGAACTTTTTAGGAGTTTAAGTACCCACAGATTATCTACTAATGGCTTCATGGCAGCTTTTAAACTTTATAGCTGGTTAATTGCCAGAATATCCATCAATTTGATAGTGATAAAAAAAGACAAAACAATCAATCAATATTTGGGAGAGTAAGCGATCATCTTAAAAATTAACTGTAGGATTGTTTTACAGGTGATATTATGATAGATTATACTTATGTTGAATGTACCTCAGCTGTGATGCAATGTCTAAAACATTTTCTTGACAAACATCCCGAATATCGTGCTGATGAAATCCGACAAACACTTGACGATGGACTGACATATATACAGAGTAAACAACGACCAGATGGATCATGGGAAGGCTCGTGGGGTGTGTGTTTCACCTATGCTGCATGGTTTGGACTGGAAGCCTATGCCTGTATAGGTTATAGGTATGATAAAAATAATGTGCCTGTTGAAGTGAAAAATGCGTGTAAATTTTTGGAGTTGAAACAAAAAGAAGATGGAGGTTGGGGGGAAAAGTTTGAATCCTGTGAAGAAAGACAATATGTAGAATGTGAAACGTCTCAGATTGTTAATACATGTTGGGCTTTGTTAGGATTAATGACTGTTAGGCAAGTATGCATTTTACATTTAAATTCATTTACACATGTCCATTCATTTCTCTACTGTCTCATGTTCCTTGCAATCCTATTTCTACTATCTTATGTTCCTTGCAATCTCCTCTCTATTATCTCATGTTCCTTGTAATCCTCTCTCTCTACTATCACATGTTCCTTGCAATCTCCTTTCTACTATCTCATGTTCCTTGTAATCCTCTCTCTCTACTATCACATGTTCCTTGCAATCTCCTCTCTACTATCTCATGTTCCTTGTAATCCTCTCTCTACTATCACATGTTCCTTGCAATCTCCTTTCTACTATCTCATGTTCCTTGTAATCCTCTCTCTCTACTATCACATGTTCCTTGCAATCTCCTCTCTACTATCTCATGTTCCTTGTAATCCTCTCTCTCTACTATCACATGTTCCTTGCAATCTCCTTTCTACTATCTCATGTTCCTTGTAATCCTCTCTCTCTACTATCACATGTTCCTTGCAATCTCCTCTCTACTATCTCATGTTCCTTGTAATCCTCTCTCTCTACTATCACATGTTCCTTGCAATCTCCTTTCTACTATCTCATGTTCCTTGTAATCCTCTCTCTCTACTATCACATGTTCCTTGCAATCTCCTCTCTACTATCTCATGTTCCTTGTAATCCTCTCTCTCTACTATCACATGTTCCTTGCAATCTCCTTTCTACTATCTCATGTTCCTTGTAATCCTCTCTCTCTACTATCACATGTTCCTTGCAATCTCCTTTCTACTATCTCATGTTCCTTGTAATCCTCTCTCTCTACTATCACATGTTCCTTGCAATCTCCTTTCTACTATCTCATGTTCCTTGTAATCCTCTCTCAATCTCATGTTCCTTATAGTCCTCTCTCTTTACTATATCATGTTCCTTGATATACCACTCTCTACTATCTCATGTTCCTTGTAATTCTCTCTCTCTACTTTCTTTTGTTTGATAAGAGTAATATGGTTTTAGTTTATATCACATTCTAACATTTCACCAATATGCTGATTCGATTTTTGGATCTTTAGTTCTTGGTTTATTTATTTTAAGTTTAACTCTTTTCTACTATAAAAGCCCCATTTCAATTTACTATCAAAGTAGTCATTTTAACGTGAATGTTTCTTTATATTGTAGATACCCTCATGTAGAAGTTTTAGAAAAGGGAATCAAGTTAATTATGGACAGACAACTATCTAATGGTGATTGGCCACAGGTATGATATATTCATCTCATGTTCTTAATTGGAAGGGGTAACGATGTACATGTTTTATTTGTTCACCAATTATTTAACTTAGATTTATGAAACTCAATCTATATATATGATACAGTATATTGAATTGACACTCCGACACATAATTTGGTACCCACTAAAATGAATAATTTCATAAAACAATTACATTTCCATTTCAGGAGAATATACCAGGTGTCTTCAATAAAACCTGTGCTATTAGCTACACTAACTATAGAAATATATTTCCAATCTGGACATTAGGACGATTTTCACAACTTTACCCACACAGTAAACTGGCTGTTTGATTTTATCTATATATTGTTAATATTATTGTTATTTTCTTTGACCAAATAATGTTTTCAATTGTTTTATCTTTTTACCACTATTATGAAGGAAAAAAAATGTTTAAACATAAGATTATCTTAGCAGCTAATTCTTTCTATAAATGCCAATATATTATTGTTATCTCTATATTTTAATTGTTACTGAAAATATTATTAAGCTGATGAATAAAAATCATTTCTTCCATCTTTTTCTGCTTGCCTAGAAATGAAACTCTACTAAGAAAAAAAAAATCACACTCTTAATCTAGGTCACAGTAATACAGTCACAAGGAATTTTGGTCACAGTAATACGGGCACAATGGATTTTGGTCACAGTAATCCGGCACAAGGTATTTTGATCACAGTAAAAAGAAAACAATGTATTTTGGTCACAGTAATACAGTCACAAGGAATTTTGGTCACAGTAATATGGGCACCAGGTATTTTGATCACAGTAAAAAGAACACAATGTATTTTGGTCACAGTAATACGGGCACAAGGTATTTTGGTCACAGTAATACGGGCACAAGGTATTTTGATCACAGTAAAAAGAACACAATGTATTTTGGTCACAGTAATACAGTCACAAGGAATTTTGGTCACAGTAATACGGGCACAAAGTATTTTGATCACAGTAAAAAGAACACAATGTATTTTGGTCACAGTAATACAGTCACAAGGAATTTTGGTCACAGTAATACGGGCACAAGGTATTTTGATCACAGTAAAGAGAACACAATGTATTTTGGTCACAGTAATACGGGCACAAGGTATTTTGATCATAGTAAAAAGAACACAATGTATTTTGGTCACAGTAATACGGGCACAAGGTATTTTGGTCACAGTAATACGGGCACAAGGTATTTTGATCACAGTAATAAGGACACAATGTATTTTGATCACAGTAATATGGACACAAGGTATTTTGATCACAGTAATAAGAACACAAGGTATTTTGGTCACTGTAATATGGACACAGGGTATTTTGGTCACAGTAATATGGACACAATGTATTTTGATCAGAGTAATAAGAACACAAAGTATTTTGGTCACAGTTATACGGGCACAAGGTATTTTGGTCACAGTAATATGGACACAAAGTATTTTGGCCACAGTAATACGGGCACAAGGTATTTTGATCACAGTAATATGGACACATGGTATTTTGATCACAGTAATAAGAACACAAGGTATTTTGGTCACGGTAATATGGACACAAGGTATTTTGATCACAGTAATACGGGCACAAGGTATTTTGGTCACAGTAATAAGAACACAAGGTATTTTGGTCACGGTAATACAAACACAAGGTATTTTGGTCAAGGTAATAGGGGCAAAAGGTATTTTGGTCACAGTACTACGGGCACAGGGTATTTTGATCACAGTAAAAAGAACACAAGGTATTTAGGTCACAGTAATAAGAACACAAGGTATTTTGGTCACGGTAATATGGACACAAGGAATTTTGATCAAAGTAATAAGAACACAAGGTGTAGGAACCACTTTTGTAATAACGACCAGTTTTGTAATAGCTCACCACTTTTGTAATAAAATCAACCGCTTTTGTAATATTACCAGTTTTGTAATAACATGCGCCCATTTTTGTAATAAAATTAGGTCACCACTTTTGTAATAAGCTCGCCAGCTTTTGTAATACTATCAAGGGTCACCACTTTTGTAGTAAAGCTTCCCCACTTTTGTAACAGCCAAGTTTATTACAAAAGTGGGTTACCGATAGTAGTTTATTACAAAAGTGATCAGGCTTCATGTCAGCCTTAAAATTAGGAATGAGCAGCATCCAACGGGTATACAGTCATTTAGGCACACTTCTTTTAGGCACACGGTCAGATAGGCACATGCCATTAACTTTTAGACACAGCGTTATTTAGGCACATTGATTTAGGCACACCTTAAATTAGGCACATATTCAATTAGGCACACCTTCAATTTGGCACATATTCAATTAGGCACACCTTCAATTAGGCACACTTATATTCAGCACAATTTCATTTAGGCACACCTGGCTATCTGTCTCGAAAGGCGAGGTCATTTCATATATTGTAAGAGAAAGCAAGGGATAGGTCTGGTATCACTTTCACATATTCAAATTGCATGAAGTGAATGATTTTCCAAGTGGAAGGGTGCTACCATATCCCTTTAGAATGGATTGGTGCCTTCGACACTCGCTTCATTGTCCTGAAAAAAACCTTTGGCAGTGCCTCAACCCCCCAAATCCAAACATCTGCAGCCGCCAATGTACCAGACCTTTCGGCATTTCAAAATAGTTTGATGTCGTTTCCTGGTCGTTTTCCTGCTCAGTTCCAGGTCGTTTCACGTTTTCTTTGATCGTTTCTTGGTCAGGTCCCTAAATGAATGTGTGCCTAATTGAAGGTGTGCCTAAATGAATGTGTGCCTAATTGAAGGTGTGCCTAATTGAATTTGTGCCTAATTGAAGGTGTGCCTAAATGAATATGTGCCTAATTGAAGGTATGCCTAAATCACTGTGCCGAAATGACAGTGTGCCGAATATGAGTGTGCCTAAATAGACTGTGTCTAAATGAGGTGTGCTTAAAAAATCTGTGCCTAAATGACAGTCAACCCATCCAGCATCCATCATCAGCGGCATCCATCATCGAACATCCATCATCCGAGATTAGCGTCATCCATCCATCATCGGCGGCATCCAACATCCATTCAACATCAGCGGCATCCAACATCGACGGACGTCTATAATAATTTATAAGGTTATTATAGACGTCCGTGCCATCATCCAACATCGACGGACGTCTATAATAATTTATAAGGTTATTATAGACGTCCGTGCCATCATCCAACATCGACGGCATCCAATACCCATCATCAGCGTCGAGCCCAATCCATCATCAGCAGCACCCAACTTCAATCCATCCAACATCGGCAGCATTCAAACTATATCCATCGATGGCGGCGTCCAACATTGGCTAGTCATCATTCCAGGTCGTTTCGGATGGTACAAGATATTTTCTGGAGGTAAGGTGATTTGAACATCACCTCCAATATGCTCTATATTTTAGTATACATCATTATCATGTGTATTATTTCGTTCAACAACAAAAAGGGGCTTGTAAGATGTTTACGTTATTTTCAGACCGAAAAGGTGCTTGTAAGATGTGTACGTTATTTTTAGAAATGATAAAGTTTTATGTTCCATATATTGATATATTTAGTTTTTTGTGATCATATACTCAGTATAGTATAGTATCAGTGGGTAAGACAAGGGGCATCGGTTTTTATAATCCCTTCCACCCAATTTTGTCTAGGACACACTATTTCTACTAGTGTTTTCTAGTAGTAGAAATAATATTTCTAGATT